ACCTCAAGTGATCCACCTGCCTTGGCCTCCCAAAGTTCTGGGATTACAGGTATGAGCCACCATGCCCAGCCTGGAAACATATTTCCACACAAAAGCTTGCACATGAATGTTCACAGTAGCATTATTCATAATAGCCAACAAGGAGGAACAATTCAAATGTTCAACTTGAGGCAAGATAGGTAGTCAAGGAAGTGACCATGTCCTCGGGATGCGGCAACCATGGTGACCATACAGTCAACACAAGAAGCCCCAGCATTCACATTGTAGTTCAAGCAAAGCTATCTGCAGTAGGGAATTTCCGCTGTAAAGAGGATGTGCATATTGGCCGGGTGCTGTGGTGCAGCCTGTAATCCCAGCATTTTGGGAGGCCAAAGCAGGAGGATTGCTTGAGTCCAGGAGCTCGAGACCAGCCTGGGCAACATGGCAAAACCCTGTCTCTACAAAAAAAAATTAGCTGGGCATGGTGGCGCGTGCCTGTAGTTGGAAGGCTGGGGCTGGGGGATCACCTGAGCCTGGGAGGTCGAAGCTGCAGTGAACCGAGATCATGTCCCGGCACTTTACCCTGGGTGACAGAGCAAGACTCTCTCAAAAAAAAAAAAAAAAAAAGAGTGCCTGGTACAGCCCCTTCAGCCCCTACCCCTGAGGCTATAAAGTTTTATTTTGATATTTCTTCCAGAGGCCAAGATCTCTGACTTATATACAAGGGTCTTTAGGCCAAGTGTGAGGAGAGAGCAGAAACCACCTGTTAATGATAAGACTGGGTAGCTCTGGTTTAATTTATTACAGAGTCAGCTAAATCAGATTGGAGGCAAGTAGGATTCCCACACGAAAGCAGGATGTAAGCAAATGAGCCTTTCTATAACTCTTACATAAAGACTGAGATGATCATTATCCCCAACAGAGGGATGTATTATAGACCAGAAGGTTTTGGCAAATCTCCAGGGAATGATAATCTTTATTGTAAAATGTAAAGAGGATACCACAGGCACCTCCAACCAACCAAATTATTACACTTCTAGGAAATATTTTCTTAGAAGTGTATTTATTGATAGCCCTTACATATCAACAGAAATATGCTACCACCCCACACAGGATACATGATATATATTCATAATAACAATCTATACAAAACTTCCTTGGGATAGCTTCATCCTCTCTTTCCCATATTCTGAAGCTGGTAGATAAAGGAAGCTTGCTAGTGAGCAGCTGATTAGAAACTATGAAACTCATCAATTGCATGCAATCGCCCTTCTTTGAGTCCCACCTTGAGGGTAAAGGATGAGGAAGCAAGGCTATAGCGCTATCTAGTGGCTGTCTAGGAAGTAGCAAAGGTGATTTTGTTTAAAAAAGGACTTCTGTTTTATCACTGCATATGTGGAACCTGATTTCAGAGAACAGCATCAAAAAGTGCTTTTGGATAAAAACACAGGTGTCCAAGAACAAGAACTGGCCACAGCTGTAGCTATTTTACTAACTAGTCTTTCCTCCTGTTAACAACATACAGCTTTGTTAACACCGTCTAGCATTTTTGCTGGGGGTAAGGGGTTAGGACTAAAGTTTTTAAGATTTGGTCTCTTTAAGTGTACTTTGAAATATTCTTTTGGTTTTCTAGGACGCCCCTCAGCAGCAACGAGCAAATGTCCATATTGTTAGGCTACTTCTACCTGTGCTATATCTGGCTTCTCTTCCTGGGGTTCCTGACACCCCTTAGATGTCCCTTAACCTCTCCAGTCTCTCTCCTCAAGGAGAGAGTCCTGTGGACCCATGCTGCTGCGTGTGGCCTTTCATCCCCAGCCCTGATTTACAGAGAGACTGGACAGGTTAGGGAGTGACATCTACTGGACCACACAGGGCAGTAACAACACAGAGGGCAGATTCCGTCAGAGGCACTGGAGCAAATGAACTATCCGCTACGCTCTGTGACGGGACAGACTGGTGGGCAGCACCTCCTTGCCGGCATCTGGCATCTGATGCAACCACAGGCAGGTGATGGCTGTACCTGGAGTGGCTCGTTAGGAACTGCATCTCAAAAGGCTTCACTGGGCTGTGCCCAGAGGTCAGTTCCTGCCCCTGGCACTGGGCTGACACCTATGTGTAGCAGTCCTTCCCCTGGTCAAATGTGGCATTGCCTCCTAGGCCACAAGCAGGGGTTCTTGTGGACTTAGGCGTTGGACACCTTACCAACCGGAGTTCTGTTCTGTGGTAGTTATCCTCGCCCTGCAGATATAATACCCATATAGTCATGGGGTGGGGTGAGATGATGGGAACAGGAAGTGGAAATGCTTGTTGCCTCCTCCTCCTAAAGTGTACCAAGGTTTACACTTTAGGCAGCAT